GAATACAATATCTGAAGGCCCAAAGAAATACTTACATGAAATAAATACAAAATACATCAATATATAGGAAAAAAGAACCTAAGAACCATCTTGTAGAATAGAAGAAAATTCAGAAAGTATGTAAGTAGTGCTCTTGGTTGGCAAGCCAAAAAAAATTTAATATAAACTATAAATCATTAAACTGAAATAACTTTTGGTGTATTAATTGTAATATATCACTTTGTTATAATATAGACCAAAATTGTTTTTTAGAATTTCACAATGATAAATAAAATAAATAAAGAGGGTATAGCTTTATAGCCTCCTATTTGACTATTACTTTACTATACTATAATTATTGTACATTTATTTAATAATTTAATTATTTAAACTCTAAATAAATTAGTTTGTTTACAAATCTGAAAATTATATAACCCCGATCTGTGTTATGAGCTATAAAATATACAGGTATCTTGTAATACCACAATTGTCAGATTTACGATCTTCTTAATTAAATCAGCTAAGGTAGCTTTTAAAAGTTTGTGAAAATAACTTATATATTTTATAGTACTACACAAATTTGTGCTTTTTTGTTTAAGTAACATAATATATACATCATAATTGTGAATTGTATAGATAATCTGAGCTTCTAAAAGCTATTGTGACTAATTTAAATTATATCTTGTATAAAAAAAATTTTGAAAGAGATTTATTTTATTTTAACTATTTTAGTATACAAATTTGTATGCTAAAATATATAGTTTAAGGAATAATAAATAAATAATCATAATAATTATTGATACAGTGTGGGACAGCATAAACCAACATCTTTTTTTAATAAAATATACCAAATTTTAAAATTACATAATTAATTTATCAATTTTGATTGGCTAATATAATCTAATCAATTGTGATTGATTAAAAATAACATATGAGTTTCTTTTTTTATATATTAAATACCAAATTTTTAATTTCTTAGTAAACTTTAAATTAAATAATTTCTTAAAATTAAAATAAAATAAAAACTTTTTCTAGCCAATTTGTAGCTTAGACTTAAAGCTACAAATTGGCTAAAAAAAATTTTAAAAAAATTTTTTAGTTTTAAATTTTTATAAAATATATATAAAAAGATACTAGTTTATGGTATTCTGCACTGTATTATTTATGGCTAAATATGCAATGCAAATACCTAAATTTTAAAAAATTCTAGAAAATGAAAAGAGTAAAATTATTAGAAAAGCAAATATAATCATAATTTAATTGTATTGTTAATTGCTTAAAATAGTTAAACAAAAAACTTTTATTTTAGTTCAAGTAAAAGAATTCAAAATTTTTTTCTACAACATGTAACTAGGCAATTAGACAAATAATGTGAAAAATAATAAATAACAAACGTAAGTATATATATACATAAAATTATAGTTTATAAAGTATATATATAGATGTAATTAATTATTTTTAAATAGATAATACAGAGAAATACAAAATAAATAATCATTCACTTTATAACAATAATCGTTCACTTTATAATAAAAAGTAAACCTGGTATATATAATACTAATTATAGTTATTATTTTCTTATATATAAGGGACGTGACAAAAATCAGGTGATTTTTTAGGGAGGAGGAGGGTAAAAAAAGTTAAAATTATATATAAGAACCTGATTTTTTTTTATATTAAAAGGGGAAGGGGGTAAGCTTCTGATAAAAAATAATTAGGTGATAAATAACACTGCCCTAATAACTTTATTAACTACTTATAAATTAAGAACAATTAGTTAAATTGAGTGATTCTGTACAATCTATAACTTATGCTTCTACTTATTCAGAATCAAATAAAACTTTTCAAGAATTTGTAACTAGTTTTAGGCTTAATATAAAAAGCTAAATGTATTATTTCAAAAAAAAATACTACTAATTAATTTTTAATTATATACTCAGACTACTAATCAAGTTTATGACTTAGAAATTGAAACTCCAATTTCAACAAATATGAATGATACTATTGTGAAATTGGTATCTTCTTCACAACTTCTATTAACTACTCTCTAAAATCAAAATAAAAATTCTAATAATACCAATGAGTTACAAAACAAATTTAAAAAATCTCAAAATTCTAGCTACATACTATGTAGTCATACTTTTAGATATACTAAAATATTATTTTTAATTTGCTCTGGTTGCTTTTGTTATTTTTTGTTGAATTATTAACCTGTAAATATAAATACATTAAATTTATTTCTAAATTAATTTTTTTTAACTTTCACTTTATATATTCATATAACTCACTTTTATATATTTGAAGGATTCATTTTAACAAAAATATTCATTTGATTCACTTTAACAAAATATTCACTTGATTACTTCAACAAAATTTTTTACTTGATTTATTTTAACAAAATTATTCACTTGATTTACTTCAACAAAATTATTTGCTTGATTTACTTCAATAAAATTATTTGTTTGAATTACTTCAACAAAATTATTTGTTTAATTTACTTTAACAAAATTATTTGCTTGACTTACTTTAACAAAATTATTTGCTTGACTTACTTTAACAATATATTTATTTAACTTATTTCAATAACATATTCATTTAACTTATTTTCAATAATATTTTCGTTTGACTTATTTCAACAATATAATTACTTGACTCACTTTTAACAAAACTTTTGCTTGATTTACTTTCACCATATTTGCTTAAATCACTTTTATTATATTTGCTTGACTCATTTTCAACAACATATTTATTTAACTTACTTTTACCATATTTGTATATTAGATTATTATTAGCTTGTAAGTATAAATTTTATTGCATTTATTTTAATTAGATTTGCAATTTGATATTACAAATTTTTATTTATTTCTTTACTGAATTATTAGAGCATAAATACAAATGCTATTATACTTGTTTTTAAAATAATTTTAAGTTGTACTTTCATATTTATTATATTTTGTTGTTAAAATATTAGTAAGTAAGTATAAAATTATTATATTACTATATTTGAACTATATATACTATTAATCCTTTTTTATTAGACATTTCTGAAAGCTATCTTTTAGTTAGAAAAGCATTATCTTCTATGTTTATAGCTTTCACAGGTTTTATTTCTCTACTTTGTGCAGATAGCGTTCCAATAGTTTAATAAAAATTTGTTATTAAAAAAAGCAAATCGTCAAAGTGCATTTAATAATAATATTTAAAAACAATAGTAAAAATATTTATAAATAAAAACTAATTCCAACTTTTTTTGTAGAAAAAAAATAATTAATATGCATATATGAAATAATTAAATACTCAAAAATAATAATTATGCATTATACAAAGCTACCAACAATTATTAGACATCAAATATAATAATTACTGTGAAATTCATAATGCTAAATAAAAGTTATTACAATAATATATAATAATAATATATAGTTTGCATATATTTGTTATATTTTATATACTTTTTTTTTTTTTAATATATTGACAGCCTCACCAGTATCTTTATTAGATCAAAGCTAATATAAAACATTATATACTATCTAAGTTATAGATCTGATATCACTCAGCTTCTTCTATAGGCACCTAAGTGCGGTCTGTCTTACCAGTTAAGGCTATTGCCTATACTGAAGAGCTGCATCAAGCTAGCTAGTGAAACCAAAATAAAATAGTTTCAAATCAAAAGAATTTTTAACTATATTCAAAAGGCAATTTTCTTTCTCTATTCTAAGGTAATGATTTAAATCTAATTTTTTTCTAACAAGTAATTCTATTTTATCTCTTAATGAAGAAAATTTGCTAAAATTCTTTCGTTTGTATTTATATTTCCTCCTCCTCTTCTTCTAATTTAGTTTGTCTTTTTAATAAGCAACCTAGCTCTCAGAAGCCTTTTTATATTCTTTACAATAATCTTCTTTTCTTGCTTTGCCATATCGTAGTATTTCTCTACTTTTTGAGAACTTCTTCTAATGAGCTTTTCTAAATATATTCTTCTGTACACCTTCTTTTCTTCAAAGTGTCTTGGGCCTTCTTTTAGTTTTTTTTATTTTTGAATCTCAGATAGTCTGCTCAGAATCTTCTTCTTTCGTAGTATGGGTTTGTAGGTCTTTTTTCCACTTCTTTACCTTTTTCTTTTCTTTTTTCCTTCTATGTTTTGGTTTTTTTTTAAAAGTTTTTCTTAAATTTTGTTTTACATATTCCACTCCTCAAAGATTTCTACAAAGATCTTCTCTAATATTTTAAGTAATGTGTCCTTTTTCTTCTTTTTCAAGTTCTTAGCTTCTTTTTTCCTATATATTGATGTATTTTGTATTTATTTCATGTAAGTATTTCTTTGGGCCTTCAGATATTGTATTC